GAAACCCACTGCTTCTTTTTTAAAACCAATAATCAAAAGCAGTTGGAGGATGATGTATGAAATTTAATTATTGATCAGATTCCAATATAATTAATCAGATTCAATTAAATTGTTAAGAAGTAGAATCGTGTTCTTTGAAGGAAAAACTTTCTCAGAAGCTAACAGGAAAACAGAATTTAATATGAAAGTTCAGACAGCACTTTGTAAAATAGCTGTGACCTACCAGACACATCTCTACTATTTTTATTCTGCTTTTGAGATGCAATTATATTGAATGAGGAAGTGTGAGCTCTGTGGTCAAAAGGTCATGTTCTATCCAAAGGTGAGGTGGGATTACAAGCATATCGGCTTGCACAATTTTAGATAGAATCACCCTTATATGGCACATAAAACCAAAACAAACTGTGGTTGGTTGTTTAAATAATGCAAACAACCCAGGAAATAGCAATATTTCTTTATGGAGTTGTTTTAACACCATTTGCCTATAATACAGCTTCCAACTGTCTTAGAATATATTCCTGCAACTCCATTTGAATGTTGTCAATAAAACATCTGCCAGTTGCTGTTGGAGGAAAGAATCAGCTTCTCGTTCTTCTCTCCAAAAGTAGCTTGCTAATATTCAAGTCAGGTGATTTGTCTGGCTAGGGCAGGTGTTGAAGTTCATCTTGGTGCTCCAACTGTGTAAGTTTTATGATTGTGACTCCATCTTTTCACATGTTAGCATTGGCGTCTGTGATTAAAGTTTTAGCAGTTGCAGCTCTTTCATGGATGTTGGCTTGTGAAGTTCCCAGTGGTGGGTTTTTGTGGAAACAGGCTCTTCAAGGTGAATATTGAAGTTTGCTGTCAATTTGCAGCAGTAGTTCTGTGTTGTTTGGACACTATCCTTCTTAGTGTTTGACTGTCACTATCATTCACTTTCAGTTTTCGCCCGTATTTCTTCTTTGCTTATGAAGTCTTGCCATGCTCTGTGTACGCAGTCATAATCGTTCAGACTGTTGATCTTAAAGCACTAAACAGTTGGGCTGTTAAAGGGATAGTTCACTCAAATACTGAAAATTCACAGTTGACGAAGAATGTTGGTGTTTTTTTTTTGTTTTTTTTTGGCTACCGTCAGCTCTGTGATTATCAACATTCTTCAGAAAATCTTTTGTGTTAAACAGAAGAAACAAACTCAAACAGGTTTGGAACAACTTGGAGGTGAGTAAATGAAGGCAGAATTTTCATTTTTTGGGGGAACTATACCTTTAAGGATTTTCGTACTAAACGGGCTTCCATGATTTGTCCTTTTTTGGAAGTCTGACAAGTCACCCATTTCACAGAGCGCTTGTACTAAACACTGCTGAACACAACTTATACTACACTGAAAGACAAGCTAGAGAATATAGTCAATGAAAAGATTATCACAACATTTTTTTTTCCACTGAAACCTTGTTTTCACCTACACATGATATTAACCCCTATAATAATGGGTGTTCACATTATTTTGTATATTAACAATGCTTTTCAGTATGTTTATTTCTAATCAACACATCAGCTCTTTTCAGCATTTTGGTTTTCCACTGTAAGGGAAACAGGTCAATTTAGCTCAAAGGGAATCATTTAAGATTTTAAAGGGAATTTGGACAGAATCACTGTTTTACGGCTGATCACTGAGACGGCCAGCGATTCATTGAACGAGCCGTATAACATCAACTCTGCAATGGATATTAATATCCAAAGTATAGTGAAAACTATTTATTAGCACAGTAACAAGATCGGCAGTTTAAGACATTAACTTGTAAGCACAAAACACAAGATACTTCTCTTTTCAATATAAATAAGGCTTTATTGGATAAATCTAAGACATATAAACTAATCTAACACATAAACACACGCATTCACACAAGTTGCAGAAAAGAGAGAAAGTGAGGAAATAATTAGTTTAAGTTTCATAAGTTTCCATTCCAAGTTTACAGCAATATGTGCAATTGCATAGATCTGAACAACCATCAATCACTTAATTAACCCTCGCATTGAGTTCCTCAATACCATTAATCTTGATTACTTGCCCCCAAAATTGACAATCTCCTTGGAATTGTCAATAAGTGTTCTTTTGTTTAAATGCTGTGAGCTACTCAAAGCTGCTAGTTGGTTCAGGCTTGTGGCGCCTGGATCTGATTTACGAACATCCTGTGTCTTGGGCCTCTGTGGAATTCGGCTCCTCGTGTTTCAACTGTGTTTTTGACTAAATCTTAGATTGTCTGATTCGGTCTGATACCCTACACCACTGATCTTGTGCATTCACCTCAAAACCAATAACAACCAAAAACAAGATCTTAGAAGGGAACACATTTGACTTTCTAGTTAATTTCTGACCCTTCATTTCTTTTAACTGAAATGTCCTCTACCCATTACTCTCTGTGATGTGTTTGTGGAGCACAGAAGTGCAGCGGTTTGTAAAAGCAGCGTAAACTCTGTAAAACACATCAGTCCCATTATTGAGAGACAACAGTGGACTGATGCTGCGCCGTCCCCCTCGTACCGTTCTGGGGAATTGAAGCGATAAATTCTTTCCTCCTCAGACCCTCTCTTTCTCCATCTCTGTTTCAGTCCCTGCGATCGCTCTGTTATTTGTAGAACAAATAAGATTGTTGTATGTACTGTAGCTGAGAGCTTGTAGAGCTGTTGACAGTACAGAAACCCAGATCCCCTCCAGTCTGGTGCTGGAGTACGTCAGGATCAACTGAGATTTCACAAGAGCTTTAGTGAAGAGATCAGACCAGTTTTGGGTCAGGTTGTTCTTTCTATCTTTTTTTGTTTTTAATATAAATTGTATTTAAACTATAATGCCAATTTAATAATCCTCCCCT